GAATACGAGGGACATGGCGATGCTCATAACTATTCTCATTGACCTACACGTGACTCGATGATGTGATCTACCACGAATTCGACCTTTCAGTACCGAACAATGCCTTGCAGGACCAACAAGCTGGTCTTCCCCGATAGCTGGCAGATCTAACTATCAAATACCATTCTCTTTTGGATCTTACTCTCTACAAAAACTCCGTACGGCCAATGTCAGTCTCCATGAATCGGACGATTCGCTAGCGCCGGCGGCAGCCAGCGGATTGCTCGACCTTAAATGTCAGTGAAGTCCAAACTTTTGGGTAGTTTTTTATTCGAATATACAGCAAATATAATAATTAATCACACACACAATATGTTAAATTATCTTTGTCTCGTCAAAGATTGCAATTTGTTGCTGAGCGTAACGAAATATTTACAGTGTTTAACATCTCCAACATTGACGGGAAGAAAATACAGGAGAACAACTGATGCTTTCGCCGATTGTAACAGGATATCCCTTTTCTCCTTCTTGACTTTTCACGGTTATTGCAACCGTTGAGCGTATTGGAGCTCTGCTCGTCTTATATTCAGGGGAAGGCGGACGTTTGGTGCCTCCTTCGCGTCAACCAACGCAATGTAGGCATTTGAGTAGAGCGTCTTCAGTATTTTGTCCATATCACCTGCACCTGTCAACCGCTCCTTATAGTCGACTGCCAGCCTTTCGAATGCCGTCTTCGGCTTCTGAATTACGACATTACACATCAGAAACACTGCCTCACATCGCGACCCACCAAATCAGAGCAGTAGGGGCATGAAAGCAACGGCTAATTCCAGATTTGCACTGACGGGGAGGGTGAATATGAAGGAGTGCCAGAGAATTACGCTGATATCTCTTACCACTGTATTCTTCATTCGAGCGTGTGGCTGATTGTGGACTGCAGCTACGGGTGGCAAATCCGGCGACGAAGCTCTGAATCAGTGGTGAATTCAGGACAACGACTTCGAACCAACTTTTTTCATCTAGCTTTTAGCTTACTTTCGATCACCTCACTTTCACGTTATTCTCAATTTTAAACAAGGGTCATGAGGGTCCAGAAGTTCTGAGTTACAATTTCGTAAAGGGCTCGAAAATCCCTGAAGTTAACTGCTGCAAAAATGCGACAAATTGGTCTCATTAGTGCTGCGATCATCAACTTCAAGCTCTGATTTGCACATCTGCTAGAACGACCAGAGTCCGACGGTACGGGGCCAACGACTGCAGTAGCCAATCCTACCAGCAGAGGGAGAGGAGTTCAAAAGGACGGGAAACGTCTTGCTAGGTTGCTACTGCAACTCATCCCGCGCCCGAGGAAGCGCCACGTTTCGCCCCCTTGGGAGCCCAGCAACCCCTCGTAGTGGCCTCGCTGGCTCTTCCTCCACATAAATATCGTACTACTTGCTTTTAAGTAAGGTAGAACAACTATCGCTAGCCATCACATCGGCAGGAAAGTCAGTTCCACTTCTCCTGGATACTATCAAGAAGAGCGACAATGTTTTGGTGTACAGTTGCCTAAAGAGAAAAATATCCTCATGAACCAACCTTGGAATATTTCGTATCCTGTAAGGGACTACTCTACCGCCTTCATTTTCGAGGTCTAATGGAGCACCGGTGGCAAGTCCTATGCCCAACAAATCAGCATCAGCTCCACCGTAAGACCCGCTGCGCTCTGCGCGGGTGTTTTCGGCTGAAGCATAAGCGGCATCTTATAACTTGTTGCAGAAAAACAAAACTGAAGAACAATAAAGTTCTCGTTATCAGGTGGCGAACAGGTGCTCTCCAGCTACACAAATTAAATAGGTGCCTATTTGTCAAGCAAAATATTCACAATAATGTGGTGCTAGCCATAACGTTTCTGCGGCATTTGGCTCTTCTACGGGGATTCCGATGGAATCGAGTGACTACCTTAGCTCCGTTTTCGTTAAAAAAAGCATAAACACAACGGTGAGGTGGTCTAGGTACTCCTTATTATAGATAACTATTTGCTCACGATCACACTGCCATTGACGCCGTCCCAGATGCGAAGAGTAGGCGGCGCCCTCGTCGGTTGTGATGTAGGCGGTTTTGGAGAAACCACAGTCGTCGTGCTCGTTGTTTCAGTCGTCGTGGTACGAATCGTTTCCTCAATCTTGGCACTCTCCTCCGAACCTGGGTCTAGTTCATTGATAATAAGGCAAGATTAAAAGCTTCCAGAATTAAGTCAGTAGAAGCTTGAAGTTGTCACTCCTCCCCAAAAAAGCGCAATCTTTTCCCTGGAGTAGCTTGGTGATGAATCCAACTCAATGGTTGTTCTCATGAAATCGAAAGAGCGTATGAAAGCAAAACTCGCCACTGAAATCGTCTTCGCCTTTGTCGTCAACCAGCTTTTCCTCGATTGGAATATGCATTTGAGATGTGAGAATTTCGGCTTCGACGGAATCTGTTTTGTCCTGAACCACAAAAGAAGAGTAAAGAAGAGCGTGGCAGAAGAATTCGCAGCGGTCAAAACTCTCAGAAAGCGACACATGTGACGCGTACTATAGAACGCAACAATTATTGAGTACCGGATGGGAAGTCTATGCGACTCAAAGAGGGCCAAGAGGCTTATTCGTCTAGGCACCTTGTTAAGCATGAAGTCATATCACTCCGAAGCGTGATGTTTCATTCAAATCAAAAGAACAGCAAAGATATAAGAGTTTAGTACTTCTGTTTAGTTGTGGGCGGTGCTCTCGATAAAAGGCAACCCATTAGAAATTAAGGTGGAGGCGGTCAACAAGGAGAAGGAATAAAGAGAAAACGACGAGAAACGGCTCAAGACTAACTCGAGGAAGGACTCCTTTTTTGCGCGTTGGTTTTCGCACTAATGAGACTCTCATCGGTGCGGCCCTCTTCAACGGTAACGCTCTCTCTCTCCGCTGAATGGCTGGAGTGAAAAGTGAGGGGTTCCCATCGGCGGGCGTGCTAAAGCGCGATGGCGGAGGTGCGGCTTCACTAGCCCACTGTGGGTATACTCTACGTCTTCTGTGAAACACAAATCGTCCCGCACCCTTAGGGAGCCCGCCCGCCTTTCGACTGCGTATATCTCCACTTGTTGGACCCTCGACCTTATAGTGGAATGCTCACTGAACCAGGTTCCCGTCCACATTTTACTCTAACCGCTTGATGCCACTGCTCTGCGAAGCGTGTTCCCAACCCCTCAACTTCCATTTCCTCAGCCACCATTCCGAATGTTTCCTTCATGTCTTTCATACTTGTCATTTTTATTGGATATAGCCAAGCGACTCACACCAGTTCGTTTCTGGGACTGAGTTTTTGTACGAACACACCTGCTTGACCATCTCAATTCATTATAGTCGTCTATTCTTTTGTAGTAGCAATGCTGGCCTCACAGGCCATTTCGAAAAAGTTCCAATCCCTTTAATCATCATTATAAGTCGGACTTCAACACGTTGGCGACAGCATGACGCACATGCGCGTCACATGTCATGCTCGCTCTGTTCGAATTATTTGGTCTTTTTCATATTTCAAAACTGTCGCCATGCATAATCTTATCCGAAAACTGTGCACCAATTATCAGTAGTGGAATTATTGAAGAAGTTATGACTGTGAAAAAAATAAACAAAAAGTGCCTGAGGTACACGCACAAGGGGCTGTTCAATGTGTTAACCCTTTGACGACAATGCGGATTTGCACGTAGCGTGCTCGTGGGACCACGCCTCTTTTTGGCGCGCCCAACTCTCGCACAAAATGGGGCAAAATTGTCCCTAAAAGCAGTTTTTCTATCAAAATTTTGACTATGACAATAAACAAAATATGACTGCAGTCTTAAGCTTTATGATCATGTATTGTTGGAATTAGAAGTGGAAGTTTGGAAAGAAATCTCGGATTTCAAAGGGATGGTGTTTGAAAACTCTAGAAGTTCAAATGTACAGTAGAATTTTTGATATAGTTCAAACTCCTCCTTGTGTCTTAAGACTGTGAAAAGACGAGGTCCTGATCTGTAATTCACCTTAAGCTTAATAATGTAAAACACTAGTTAATACATCGCCGAGCGAAGTGCCATATCCTAAAATTTCATATAAATTAGCTAGTAACAAACATTTCTGCAAAATATGCTAAACATAGGCGTAACGGAGCTTGCTTATAATTACTGATATGTTGAAAATGTTTTAAATGGGTAAAGAAGAAAATTTTAGGGTGGCACCCACCATTGGGTGCCATTGTCCCACGCGACGGTCATAGTGGCACCCACCGGTGGGGGGCCACATGACCCTCCCCTGGGACGATCGC